CACTTTATGTTCAACAAATTGGGCCCTGAGGTCAAAAAGGTTAAGAACCCCTGGTCTAAAATTGCTCTAAGACGTTGGATAAATCCAGTTTAGGACTTGGTTTATCTGGGGTTTAGTTAGATTTGTTTCAGGACTTGGTCTGTGGTTGGGACTAGTTTTAGGTTTTGGTCTGTCCCTGGGATTGTAGCTTCTTGTTGGCCCTGATGAAGGACTTGTCTTCCTTGTCTTCAGGTCACAAGTGGAAGCAGGGCATGTGGTCGAAGGAGGAGATCGACATTCTGATGAGCAACATCGACCGATACGTGAAGGTACGTCCCTCCAGTCCCGTCTGACTTCACCGAGCCTGGAAACTCAGACTTGTGGTTTCTTCAGGGCCRCGGGATCCAGGACCCTGCAGAGATCATCTTTGAGATGTCCAAAGAGGAGAGGAAGGACTTTTACCGCTCGGTGGCGCTGGGCTTAAACCGGCCGCTGTTCGCCGTCTACAGGCGAGTTCTGCGCATGTACGACAACCGAAACCACGTGGGAAAGTGAGTCTGAGAAAAGAGCAGCTAAAACTGCAGCGTCGTGGTTTAAAACTGCAGCGTCATGGTTTTCAGTCTGAGCTGGAGTTTGTTTTCTCTGTCAGGTACACGCCCGAAGAGATCGAGAAGCTGAAAGTGTGAGTTAAACCTCTCTGTTGGTTTAGCCTCGTTTCATTTAACTTTGTTTTTAGCTTCTTTTAGCTCTTTATAGCTTGTTTCAGCTTGTTTTTTTTAGCTTTTAAACATTATTTTAGCTCATTTCAACGTTGGTTAGTTTTGCTTTGTTTTAACTTCTTTAAACTTGTTTTAATTTACATCAAGATGTTTTTGCTTTAAAGGCTTGCTTTAGCCCATTTTAGCTCTTTAAACCTGTTTYAGCTGCTTTCAGTTTTGTTTGTAGCTTATTTCTTCTATTTTAGCTTGTTTTAACTTCAGCTTGTTTTAGAAACTTGYACCTTTGTGTTTATTTCGTTTTAGCTCTTTGCTTATTTTAACTTTTTTAGCTTGTTTTTTATTTTTAGCTGCTTTCAATTTCTGTTTTTATTCATGTTTTAATGGAATAAAGGTTCAGATTATTGTTTACATTTAGTTGCTTTTAGCTTTAGTTTTTCTCTTATTTCATTTTTTTATCTATTTAGCATCTTTTCAGATTTTTACACCTAGTTTCAGCTTTTAATTTATTTATTGTAGGTTTTTAGCTTGTCTTGTTTTTAGCTTAGTTTTTATAGTTCTTTTTTGTTTTTTATTGTTTCAGCTTTATTTTGTTTTAGCTTCTTTAGCTTATTTCACTTTTTAGCTGCTATTAGCTTAGTTTTGGGTTCCTTTTTTTGTTCTTTTTAGGTTTTATATTGTTTCAGCTTTATTAGCTTGTTTTAGCTTATTTTTACAAATTTCAGCTGGTGTTGATCATAACATTTTAGCTGCTTTAGCTTTCGCCTTGTTTTAGCTGATTTGAGCTGGTTTTCTGTGTCTCAGGCTGCGGGAGGAACACGGGAACGACTGGGCGACGATCGGAGCGGCTCTCGGCCGCAGCGCCTCTTCGGTCAAAGATCGCTGTCGGCTGATGAAGGACACRTGTAACACAGGTGGGCGGAGCTAAAAACAGCTCTGCAACACCTGTGTTCAGCTTCTCTTCAAACTCCTGTGTTGAACTCAGGGAAATGGAGCGAGGAGGAGGAGAAACGCTTGGCGGAGGTCGTGTATGAGATGGCGGGCGTGTTGCCGGGCTCGGCGGTCACCGGAGGGGTTTCCTGGGCGACGGTCGCAGAGCGAGTCCGCACGCGCTCCGAGAAGCAGTGTCGCTCAAAATGGCTGAACTACCTGAACTGGAAACACAGCGGAGGAGCCGAGTGGACGAAGGAGGACGACCTGAGCCTCCTGCGCAGGTACGACCCGTCTGCGTTCAGACCAATCAGAACCCAGAAGACAAACGTGAAAAAAACRTCTGGTTTCAGGATCTCGGCGCTGAAGGTAAAGGACGAGAATGACATCCAGTGGGAGGAGCTGGCCTGTGGCTGGAGCAGCGTCCGCTCGCCTCAGTGGCTCCGGTCCAAGTGGTGGAGCATCAAGAGACAAGTGGCCAACCACAAGGACATCCCGTTCAGCGGTAAAAACCTCGATAAAATAACAAGAGCCGAAATAAACCAACAAGAAAACCATTAAAAACAGCTAAAATATTCAACTGTTTAACTAATAAACTAAAACAAACCATTAAAAACAGCTAAAAGATTCAACTGTTTAACTAATAAACTAAAACAAACCATTAAAAACAGCTAAAATATTCAACTGTTTAACTGATAAACTAAAACAAACCATTAAAAACAGCTAAAAGATTCAACTGTTTAACTGATAAACTAAAACAAACCATTAAAAACAGCTAAAAGATTCAACTGTTTAACTGATAAACTAAAACAAACCATTAAAAACAGCTAAAAGATTCAACTGTTTAACTGATAAACTAAAACAAACCATTAAAAACGGCTAAAATATTCAACTGATTAACTGATAAACTAAAACAAACCATTAAAAACACCTAAATTATTCAACTGTTTAACTGATAAACTAAAACAAACCATTAAAAACAGCTAAAATATTCAACTGTTTAACTGATAAACAAACCATTAAAAACAGCTAAAAGATTCAACTGTTTAACTAATAAACTAAAACAAACCATTAAAAACAGCTAAAAGATTCAACTGTTTAACTAATAAACTAAAACAAACCATTAAAAACGGCTAAAATATTCAACTGATTAACTAATAAACTAAAACAAACCATTAAAAACGGCTAAAATATTCA